GGGGGGGGTTGGGGGGGTGGTGGTCAAGACTTGCAACTAAATCCTGGCAGGTTTCCCCCTCTGCCATGCACTGCTTGACTGCAGCTGGCTTTACAGAGATCAGTTCTCCAAATTTAGTCCCCTCTCCCAGTTTTAAGCAAGGCATGAAGAACCAAGCTTTGATAGGCAGGAGGGGCACATCCCCAGTCCACCCGGGCAACCGTGCCCCTGACACAGTGTGGCCTGAGAGCAAAGCCAAGTGCGGGCTATCAGCTCAGGTACAACAATTAAAGAGTTTCCCACTCTTAAGACAACATTATTCCAGTGATGCTAAAATGTTATCGCTAGGATGGAGGGAAAGTGGAATTGCACTCGTCTGAATGGCCTCTTTTGTCATGCATTTCGCAAGGTGTTGAGGCATAAAAAGCTTTCAGAGAAACTCGAGTGAATCCAAGCTAGGTGGTTATAAGGCTAGTTACAGAACTGACATGATGGATCATCTTCATTTTCCCGTTCCTGTCCTGCATACAGCAAATCCATTTGCTGGGCAATTAGACTCCAGTTCACTACATTATGCTAAGACGATGTTCCTTTTGCAGTGGGGGGACCCCAACCAAGAGAAACCAAGAGCACTGCCTGCCCATCCCCACTTGCTGACAAATCCAGGGCTACAGGTAACCCCACCTGTGGCAATGCCACCTCCCTGGCATGCCGGCGAGCATCACGCCTTCCCAGAGACCTCCAGCAGCTCACCTAACATCAATATCCACGCTGCTCTTCCTTACCCACAGCCCTCTAAAAGGTTTGGGATTAAATGAAATGGCCCTTGGAATGATCTTTCTTAAGGCAGTGAGCAGCGCAATAAAGACGGACGGTACCTCTCCTGCAAACTCTTCTTCTAAGGGCTGTTAACCAGCCAGTACTTCTGTTTTCAGAGTAAAACACACCATGATCCGGCTACCAGCAGCTGACATGGGCTATCCTGCTGTTCCACCTTACCCGTGCCACCTCAGCCCAACCAGTCATTAGACCTCCTCCTCCTCTCCAGGCATCCCCCCCCTTCTCCTGCAAATTTCTTCCGCAGCCCCTTCAATTGCTTTCGCCTTCCTCAAGCTCATGTCTCCTGTTCCCCACGCTCCCCCTCCACGTGTGTGTGTTTTGTGGCTTCTGGGTGCAATAACTGACTAGAGGGTCAGTCCACCTGAAAATTGCTCTCCCCTGACCTAAACGAAACAGATGGGCATTGATGATGTTTCGGGAGAAAATAATCAGCCTGGCCGGGCAGCAGTGCCAGCGTCTCCCTCGGCCCAATCTCGCCTAATGAATTCCGAGCTCTCTGTCTTAATAGCTCCTGACAAGACTAATTTACTCTTGTAAGTGATTAGAGGGGGAATGATCTCTTAATTGTCGCTTAAGATTGCTTTCGGCAGGCGGTGAGCGGGGACAGCTCCGTTTGGGGCTAGGTGAGGCTGAGCCCCCAGCCACTGCAGGGAGGGGAGGAGGGGGCTGCACGGAGGCATTCGCTCAACGCCACGGTGATGGGCACACTTCTAACAGACCCCGAAAAAGGAGCCACATTTTTTCTGGGCGAGAAGCACCACATACAGTTCTGCCACTTACACCCCAGTCAGGATATAAGAAAGGTGTTTCCAGATGATGTTTCTTTTTTTTTTCTTTAAATTAATAAGTCTAGCTCCAAAAACATCTAACAACAGCAGAAAACACAGAAATGCTATTTGTCAACACTTTCAAGGCTGACATTTCCCTCTGGTGCATCTGGAAAGAAAATCCCAGGGTGCCAATATTCTTAAGAGTGAATTTCATTTCTGTAGAGTGTAATACAAAGTCCAAAAAAAAAATTCAACCCCCAAAGTAATTCCAAGAACAATTTTACTCGCACAATATCTCACTGGAAAGCAGACTGTCAGAAATCTTCTCCTATTTTCTGCCAAAGCAGAAGTTCAGTCCAATTCCCATAAGGTATTTCAAGCTCAAGTACTTGACGAAACATGTACTCTGTGAGGAAACATTTCCCATCCAGCTCATTCCTGCTCTAGCACAGCTGCTTCCTTCCCTGGGACTTGTCCAGGGCACAGCTGGCACGAAGTGTGTTTGCAGGGACACCAGCTATCTAGGGGCAGGGAGCCTACCGAGAGCAAAGCAAAGAAACCAGGTGTGAAGTGACCTGTAAAGGGTGGGCTTGCTGAGCAAGGCTGTGAAAAATGACATGGATACAAATCATCAGAAGGAAAAAAAAAAAAAAAAAAGAGAAAAAAATTGCAATTAAGTCAGGTCCTTCCTTTCCTTACATTGTTTGCAGCTTGCCTTCTGCAGTGCTGTGAGTAAAGACACCCGAGCAGCGGTTTTCAGTATTATTTCCCATTGCGAATAAACCTGAGCATCACTGCAAGACAGAACTCCCCAGGCAGACGGCTGTGGCTCCAGCAAGCCTTCTCCTGAGGAAGTATCTCTGCACAGAGCTCAGCTACCAGCCAGGAGCTTCTACACCATCTACCCAAAACTCGCCACCAAGACTCCATGTCCTGCCTCCTTGCTCAGACACCACCCCAAACCCCACAAGCGGGACACTGTGGACCGCAAAAGATGCAACCGAGGGGACGCCCAAGAAGAGACAGAAGCCTCAGCCGGAAGCCCTGGTTGAGCTGAGCAGTCACTAGAGGAGACCTCTCCAGAGTCCTCCAATCCTTGACAGTTCCAGTGATGACTTAGGTGCAACAAGAGCCCTTTTTTAAGGAGGCTGCTGCTCAGCTTGCATGGTTGAATGCAGCAGTAGATGCGAGAAGGGGCCCTCCATAGCCTCCATCCTACCCGCCCTCCGCTCCCAATCGATTCCTCCCGCATTAAAAGCCAGTCACAAGCCCTGATTGAAGAGCACAAGTTTAATGGACTGAGAGCCTGGAAAGAGGCTGAGAATGACCAGGTCGATTTTTGCATTTACTAAAACGCAATCCCTAGCTAAATAAAGAAAGAAAAATAAGCTACATCTGTCAATCAAAAGAAAAGCATTTCTTTAATCCTTTTCCATCAGGAGGTCGGCAGCAGTGGACCCCTTTCCCACAGGCACACACCCCACTTACCCACGGGAGTATCCTCATTGATCAGCAGGTAGGTGTCAAAGAAGTAGTTTATGAAGTACGGCAGCCGATTGCCCCAACCTGGGAAGAGGACAAAAGCAAGGCGTTATTTCCCTGGCACGCCATGCACAGGCCAGCGCAGCTAGGAGAGGCTGGGGGCAGAGATGCACGCTTGCTGCTTGGCATTGTGATGGAGAGGGGTACCCCTGAGACGAGGGCTAACAGGAGGACAGAAAGCCTCGCGCAGTCCCCCATAGAAGCTGGTTGTGGAGCTGCTTCCCTCCACCGGCCTTTCTTTTTTTAGTATTTTCTTTTGCAGGGTGGAGGAGAGGCGAAGAGAGAAGCCAACAGCTCGGGCACCAAGAACATCAATTATTGTTTTAGTGCATGATTAATACCCTCACTTTGTTCCCACGGTTGAGAGCATTTTGCCTTGTCAGCCATCCCAGCAAAACCCAGTGCGCCTCCCATCACCCAATTGCCTTTCCCTCTAATTGCCTCCTTTCACCTTTAATAACCAGGCTCACTTCTTTCAACTCCCTTTTTTACGGAGCTAGAAGCTCACAAGCCTGCCCCCAGACCGCTGCCTCATTAGGTGACAAGAGACAAGTGCAGAGCACGTAAGAGAAGGACCGCAGCCTGAACCAGGGGAAAAGTCAACCAGGAAGGATGTACCATTCAAGGGACGCAGGAGAAGAGGTGCCAGGAGAGAAACACAATTTTCCAAGAAGGTTTGGTGTTGATCAGGCTCCATCTGAGGGATGGGTTTTCCTCAATATGCAGCTGGAGCCGGCCAAGCCTGCAGACTTTAAGAAACGCAGTTTGGCTGCCAGGCATCAAAACCAGGGCTGCGCATGGGGAAGCGGAGGTTTGAACTGATCTGGCCAGAACAGTTCACACCAGTTCATGGGGAGTCCCAGGAGCCAGTCCCGGGAGGGGAAGATGCAGGACTGGGGTCCCAAGCATGGCCCCTTGCAAGGGGACTCACTGGAAGTGACAGGGCATCACTTCCCCACTGTGACCCCTCATAACTGCCTTTGGTGTGACCAGAGCCAAAACCAAAAATTATGCAAGTATAAAAAAATTGCCAGCAAAGTGGCAGCATGACTCCACCTCACAAACCCCCACTACACCAGATGCAGACCCAGCCAGGCTCCTTGCAACACAGCCATTACAGAGCATCATCGCCATCGTTACCCCAACCTCGCTGCAACAGCGAAGCCATAGTTTCAGGCAAAGAGGTAGCAAAGCCCGGATGAGATCAGGTCTCCAGGTTTCCCTCCTGACCGCGCTGCACTTTACAGTCACCCTCATGCCCTGCACTGCAGCATCCCACCGGATTTTCAGCACTGCCCTCTTTCCCGAGGCACCGAGTTTGTTAAACACTTCGAGAAGTAGGAAAGCACTAGAGGCTGTGGTCTTGCAAAGGCACATTTAAATCTCAGCCTCCGGAGTTAAGTACCTGGAAAGAAAATGAGAAGGACCGTGACAAAATAGGGTTTTTTTAGAGCTAATGGCATCTCCGGAGGCTTCGAAGCACACTTGTACCTGGCTGCCGTGCCAGGGCCAGCAGGATTTGAAGGGGGCAGATGAGGCTAAAACACACCAAGCAGCCCTTCCCACAGGGGATTCACTTCTGCAAACCCCTCTATTTCAAAAATGTATTTCTTGATATCACCAGTATACTAAAAATAAGTCGCACCTTCCAAATCCAGCTACATCAGGTGCTGGGAAGAATTCAAATGGCCAGTCTGCGAGCGTACAGGATCTATATGTTAAGAGAGGAGGGCAACTGGCACCCAAGAGCTGGGGAAAGCTGAAAGAGGGTCCAGAGGCAGGATTTTGCCTTGGGCTGCAAATCCCAGGATAAAAAGCAAGGCTGTCCTTGCAGTGCGGGGCTGTCAGCATGCAGAAAGGCAGTGTGCAATGGGAGGGGATGGAGATAAAGCATCTGAATGATACAAAAATGTAGGTCAAAAGATGCATGCTGTGATGAATGGAAACTGTTCCCCAAAAAATAAAAGGGATGCTGTGGCTGAAGCTGCAGCCCCATCAGCCCTGTCCTTCTGACCAGCCCCAAAACTCACACTCCAACCACAGCTACCTCCAGCTCCCACAGAGGCCAGACCACTGCAGAGGGCTGCATCCTTGGGGCACCTTCAGGAACCTTCTCACCATCTCAGATCTCGCCATAAGTTCTTAACCTTGTAACCTGGCAGCTGTCAAAGTGTGCCTTGCCAGTCTGTGAAACACAAGACTTCCACACATAGGTCCTGCCACCTAATCTAGGATCCCAGAAGTTTTCCTTTCACATTTAACCCAGAACTGTCAATGTTTTGTTGGCTTTGGGCACACCGATCCTTTCACAGAAATTGATTACTGTATGTACTGCAACGTACTGTGTCCAGGTCTGGAGACCTAACGATAGGAAAGATGTGGAGCTGTTGTAGCAGGTCCAGAGGAGGGCCACAAAAACGATCAGAGGGCTGGAGCACCTCTCCTAGGAGGAAAGACTGAGAGAGTTGGGGCTGTTCTGCCTGGAGAAGAGAAGGCTCCAGGTAGACCCAGTTGCAGCCTTTCAGTACCTGAATGGGGCCTACAAGAAAGCTGGAGAGGGACTTTTACAAAGAGCAGGTAGTAGTAGGACAAGGAGTAATCGCTTTAAACTGAAAGAGGGTAGATTTAGATTAGATATAAGGAAGAAATTCTTTACTATGAGGATGATGAGGCACTGGAACAGGTTGCCCAGAGAAGCTGTAGGTGCCACCTCACTGGAAGTGTTGGATGGGGCTTTGAGCAACCTGGTCTAGTGGAAGATGTCCCTGGCCATAACAGGGGCATTGAAACTAGAGCTTTCAGGTCCCTTCCAATCCAAATCATTCTAGGATTCTATGAATTTGGGAATCAGTCACACACCACGTCGCCTGGAAACGAGTTCACACTTTCCCAAAGGCATTGGTGTGCTTCAGCCATCATCTGTAGCTTCACCTAATGAATCATCAGCTGGATTTTCCTTCTGCAAGACTGCCACAACCAGCTGGCTATACTCTGGGATACACCATCACTGCATGCCTCAACACAGCTCTTGCCCATGGTACGTCAGCAAGGTGCATGGCAGAAAGCCATCACTTCCACCACACACTTGTAACCCTTTATTCCTCGTTCACATGCTACCAACAGGTTCCAAGGGATCATGATCAATGTTCTGATGTGCTGAGAGGTTTCTTCCCTCTGTGTGTCTTCCATGCCTGCTCCACGTTATTCACATAAAATCTGCTGCTATTTTGCCCTTCAGAGTCAGCTCTTGCATCCTTGACCACTGCTGATAGGAGAGCATGCTAACCAGGGAGCCATTCTTCTAGCTAGCATCCCTCAGTCCCTCCTAACTTGGAGATGATGAAGGTCTCTGCCCACCTCTGGTGACGGCAGCAGTAGCTGGGTAGGAGTGGGCAGACTCCACTGCCATGCCAGAGCTAAAACCATCTTCTTCCAAACACCGAGCCCACTTGGGCTGCACTTCTGCATTTACCCTAGCTAACTGCTGCACCAGGAGCTTTGCAAGTCTTCTGGGAAGAGGAGCTCCATCACCAGCAGTCTTCAGGGTGTATGGCATGGTGTCCATGCACCTCTCCTCCTGATCCCAGGCACAAGCATTGTGCCAGAGCTTGCTTAGCGAGAGCTGGCACTCCTCAGGGAGATGACAACCAAGCCCTGGGCAGGGCAGGGTTTAGGAGAGAAGGGCTGACACACTGCTGATTTGCAAGCCTCTAAAACTCCATTTCCCTGTGCTGCCTCTCGAAGGCTTTGCTGCTTGCTATTGCCTATCTGCTGCGTCCAGCCAGGCACCCAGAGCAGGGCTGTGCACACACCAGCTAGGGGTGCTGCAGCCAACCGCACAGGGAGGCATAAAGGAGCAAGTCCCCAGCCAGGCAAGCAAAACCCTCCATCCCACCTCCAGTGTGACATACTGGACGACTCGTGGCAAGACATCTCTCCAGGGGGCAAGTTTTAGGAGGCTCACACTGGGGTAAAGGACTCACTGGGTTGTCTTTTTTACTTATTTTTTCCCCTTCCAGAGGAGTGACAGGGCAGTTAACTACCGATGCTATACTTGATCCAATACGAGACCAGGGGGAGATTGACTGCGCTTGTCAGTCACAGCTAATGTCATCCACTGACTGCTTAATCAAGCTGCCAATCTGGGCAAGCCGTCTTGAGGTTTTAGTATGGGGGGAAAAGAAAAGAAAAAAAAGCCTTTATTCCAAAGGGCACAGTGCTATCAAATGGACACATGCTTGCTATTGTTTATCAGCAAGCACCACACAGGCACACACCCCCTGGCCTCCCTCTCCCCCCACGAGCACTCAGGGGCTTTAGTCCATTCATGCAACAATCCCAATTTTCACGGGGCTTTGCCGTATGTTTACAGTACTTACGCATCCCAGGATATGCCAAAGCTCGGCCTGAGGGGTACATTTGCTGCACCAGAAGGCAGTTGTCCCACAAGCTCCTGCCCAGCAGCCAGGCTGGACCCCACATTACCCCACATGCCAGGGAAGACGAAGAGCATCATATGCTCGCAGGGCAGAGCCCAGCAGTGGGGGAAAAGCTGACCGTGGAGGCTCTGCCTACCCAGAGCCCTGCCCTTCCCTCCAGCTGGAATTAGAAGAGAGGTTTTGCAGCTCAGAAAGGAGTTATTTCCCACACAGCACATATTAAAGCACAGTTCAGGTAATAATTTTGCTGCTGAAAGCACAGGGAGAGCCCTGCCAGTAATACCTCTGCTGTTGAACAACTGACAAGCTTCTGGTTTACATCCTTGCCTTTTATCCACTCTCTCTAATTTCCTTTAGGTTTTATTTACATAGAATGACCTAACGCCATGTATATGGCCAGGTCCACCGCTGGCTTTGACTTTGTGAACCCACATCTGGAAGCTGCCAAGGTCTTCCCACTGAGATACACCAGGAGCATCTACCACCGTAGGGTTCACCAGCACATCCTTCTCCTCCTCCAAGCCCCTTTCCAGTCCCACCCGCTCTCCCCCAGGAAGGGTCATCTGATGCCACCTGTGCCCTTTTACTGACTGCAAGAAAAGCTGCTGCGCAGGAGTACAATGTGCAGGTCCCTGGGACTGAATGTGATGGGTGACCTGTTTAGCCATGCCAGCCACATCTCCCCATCGCCCCAGCAATGCTGCTCTGCCTTCAGATATTCATCAGGAGACCACAAGCACAGCAAATATTACCCTTGTACCTTGCAAACATGAGAACTGAGCAAGGAGAGGGGTGGGGAGAGAAGAGCATGGCACTGGATGGACAGGCAGCCAACTTACCCAGAGACACCAGCTCCAGGAGCAAGAAGGGCAGAAGAAAGTTGCCGGCAGCAGCCTGACGCTTCATGGTTCCTGTCAAAGAAGAAAGGCAGTGTCAAGTCCAGTGCTTTATGGATATTATGTTGTCACCCAAACCCAGCAGGCTCAGGGATGCAGCCCTGCCCCAGCTTGCACCTCAGTACCCTGATGCCACAGGGGGTCACCCAGGAGATCAACATGTCGTCGGCGCTTGGCTTTTATACAGGGCACTTCACCCAAGAGTGCCACCATCACTTCCTTGTCTCATGCAGCCCCAACCATCCGCTTGGTAAGCGCCAGACTGAAACCAGGATTAACCTGGCATAGGCGATACATTTTTTATTTTCCACTTTCCAAAGTGTATTTGCTCATCTTGCACGAGGGGATAAGCCACAGTGACCTCTGTGGTCAGGCCCAGAGCAGAAGCAGCCCTAGCTGAGTCGAGCTGCTCAAGCACCAAGCGGGATATTGAGGAAAAGGAAGA